GTAGACCTCTCTAAACACTCACCACCAACTAATATCTCTCCAGAATATACATAGTGGAGGGTTACTGGCTTTTAATGGAGAACATACTTTGAATGCCAACAGTGAGTGACTATCAGGCTTTAGGCCATCCACTGCAGATCATGAAAATTTCAATGGGATTTGAATATACATATTAATATATATATATGCTAAAAAGTCCCTGGTGTCTTCTAAACATTTACCATACACCTTTATATCCATTTAATTGCTTTTCTACTTATCTAGTTATGGTCTTGACAATCATATCAAGATTGAAAGACACTATGTGCATCAATTCGTGTCCCTAAAAACTATTCTGAGCTCTTTTCATTTCATTTCTTCAAAAGCCTCCTATATAAATAACTTTACATCCATGAAATTAATAAGGTTAAAAGGCTTTGTTCAAACCTGGAAATATTTGTTCAGTCCATTAGTTTTCACAAAATTATTTTTGAACACCAGTTTCACCCACAAAAAAAGAAAAGAAAAGACAAATTAACCCTTTGAGACATAAAAGAAACATACATTTGTGCAATTCGTCACTGAAATTGCTGTGAAGATATAATACTCATGGTTTGAAATATAAAAGTATTTTGAAGTTTTATGAACTACTTTGTTCTTAGACTGAATTGTTCAAAACAGGGCTGTATGGAGCAACTTTTTAGCCTCCATCCTTCCTGGAATTAAATCTTTCTTATGTATGTTTGGGAAGACAGAGCCTGAACTGGTTCCTCATAAGAGATCAACAAGCTCCATCTTGCCAAAACTACAATCTGGATGTGTCTGTCTTTGCCTATCTGCAAAGTGCAGGTGCTGCAACATTGCTGGTGTTTATCTGCCAACCACAGATTTGTGGACTCTGAGAAGTGATTGTAGTCTTACTGTTTCTTTTTGTAGTTATTTATCTATCTTTAATTCCAATACTCAAAAATATCTTATATGTTCTTTAGGACCATTGCCTACACTATATATATTTTACCAATGTCATATTTTAACTTATCTAATCTTGTGTATATCAGTGTAATTATGATCCTGCTAATTGTACCATACCACTATAAATTCTAATCTAAACTTCTTTCCTGTTTTAAAAGGTCTTAGACTGTTTAGTCTAAAATCCTTATAATTTCTTTTTTCTTCTCTACTTTTCTGTTTCTGTTTCTTTTCTCCTTCTCTTGTAAAAAATGGGGATAGCTGTCCAAGGAGCAAAGGCAGAGGAAGGTGTAGGAGAGGATGTGGTAGATGATGGAGTGGAACGTTTAGGTCGTCTGGTGTGACTGGTAAACTGAGAAGAATAGGAAGGTACTGGGGAAGTGGAAGAGATTGGAGCATCTGAATTTAGGCTGCAAAAGAAATGTGACTGGGGGAGAGGGGCAGTAGAGGTAGGTTTGCTTTGGGGTAAAAGGAATAGATACTTGGGGAGATGCTGAGACATCTTGAGAAGATTGAAGGGGAGCAAAGTGAAGGACAGTTTTGGAATAGGTAGAGAGAAAAACGTTTTAGTGCGCTTCCTGTCTGACCTGATGTAGAGTGGGGCCTAGTTTGAATTTGAGAACTGCTACCTCAGAGTTGAGCTTATAGGCAGGGCAGCTCCTATAAATACATTATGGGAGCCACCACAATTGGCATATGTATGTGACTGAGCTAAGGTTGGGAACAAAGAGGGCAGTGGGCAGTGTTTGACTGGGTGGACAAAACACCAACATTTCTGATATTGATGAGAAAAGGGTCAATATGGCAGGACAGGGTAAGACCACCTATATAAATTTCATGGAGGAGGTCATGTCTATGGCAGCTAATCTTGGCAATATTGGTGTAGGACTTACACTGGCCTCTGGAAGGAATAGCGTAGCACTGTACTGCTACTGCACCATAGTCAACAAGGCAGGCAAGCAAGTCATTCCACAGTCTGACCAGTTCTTTTACAATCAGTAGGGAAGACAGAAACAGTTCCGGTTCTAGTATTAAGAGAGGAGTGAGGTTTGGCAGCAACAAGTTTACCAGTGAGGTCAGTCAGGGAAGACAGTGCATGAACTTGGGACACAGATGTAATTGTAACATGGTGTGAATGACTGAAACAACTGAAAGGAAACTTTGCCTACTTATTCTTGGAGAAATTATTGTCAGAGTAAATGACTGTAGGGGGAATCAATACAAATTGGCTAGGCCAAAGAGAGTACTAAAAAGGTTTGCAAAGGTGAGAGCAATAGGACAGGAACAGGAGGAAGATGGGGTGGTGTGAAGTGAGGTAGTACTGTGGGGAGAACAAGAAGGATGAAGAGAAGTAACAGGGGGGAGTGGGTAGACAATGAAGAATACTGTAGTAGGAGATGGAGCGGAGAATGTTGGGGAAAAGAAGGGGAGTATCTGAAGGTTGAGTAATGACCTGGGTGGATGGTTCGGAACAGATAAAGGAGGGAATATTAGTATCAGTAGTTAGAACCATGGTCAAAGGAGAGGCAGGGGTCAGGAAACCAGTGAAAGC